GCTTTCTCTGCACCCTCCAGTTCCTCAGCACCCTCCTTCTTGCATCTGGCCATCGGTGACAGGCGCCATATTCCAGGCACGACGTAACCAGGGCAGCATGGACTGGGACTGGCTGGTAGCATTTTGCTGACTGGACAGAACTTAGAGTGGGGAATCTGACCTTGGGGGAAAACACCCAGACCCCTGCACTGAAGGGTGAGAAAAGCAAGTTTACTGTAGAAGCCCCGTCGGTTCAGAAAACTTCCCGGCTAAAAGGCAAGCTAAGAGCGCACTGAGACGCCAGCTTTTAAAAAAGTAACACCTGCTTGGAGAGGGGCTCTCAGGATGGCAGGAGAAAAAGCAGCTTCCTGCCGGGCTCTGTGTCTGTCTGCTTTTTCCTGAATACCTAAGAGAGCAATTTCATTTTCTGAACTGACATGTGGCCTCAGAGTCCAAAAGCTGCTTTACCCAGGTTTCTTTCCTCTGCTGAGCCCCAAAGGGAGAAAGTCAGCAGGGAGCAGGCTGGGCACGGAGAGGCAGACGGGTGCTCTTGAGATGGTGAGAGCCAGTCTTCCCTTCCTGGACACCTAGTGGGGATGGGGGGGGTCCCTTACAGTGTAGAAAAGGGGGGCTTTGAGCATGTGCTGTGCCCTGTGCTGTGCCAGGACTGCACAAAGCTCCTGGGAAGCTTCCCTTTAGAGCTGCTTCGTGAAGGCACGGGGCACCCCATTGAAAGCGCCCTCACTATTTCTGAGACCTCATCAGAACGGGTGCCTGCACATGCGTAGAAACCCTTCTGGATACTGGCTGGGCTGGAGGAACACAGAACACCTCAAGTGCAGAGGCCAATCTCCATCTGGCTGGTGGGCGCAGAAATAGGGTGGATGAATTCTCTGAATTTCTCCAGCAGTTTCTCCAGGGCTCTGCAGCTGAGAAAGCGCCTTTTGGGCCTCCGTGCCTGGGACTGAATGGATGGGAGGGAGAGCAGAGATGGTGCAATGAAAGACAAGAAATGGAGGTCTTTTTTCCTTTGAAAGGCATTTCAGGCGTGAACTCTCTTGGCCCAGACAGAAGGGACTGGGAAAAAAACGTCTGGAAGAGGATTTTCTCCCTGGCATAGCCTTGAAGATTTATTGCCCTGAGAGGGGGCTCTTGTTGCAAACTCTGCAAATGATGAGTAAGATTTCTGAGCAGTCTTGGAGGCTGGCAATTCAGGATGTGTCCCAGATTAAATGGCCTAAGCACTTGGTTTGTCTTGTTCCAGTGTCAGAAGGTTCCACAGGCTCATTATCACCGTTAATCATCCCGTTACTGCGCTTGCCTTCACAGAGCTGAATGGAGTTCCTTGGACCTTCAAGGAAGAGTTGTTTGATATCCATGGACAGGTGTGTGAGGACTGTGATGCTCCCAGGCAGGGACAACCACTGACCAGCTGGAGGAAACTGTTTTGTGCGTTCGTTCTTGTAGTGCAACACAAGCACCAAAGGTAATGAAGTTTTTCGTAGTGGAGCAATTCTTTGCTTTTCAGTAAAAAAGTGCTGCATGATGGTACGGGCACTTCAGACATGCACCACCTACTCGAAAACTGAGCATGGCTTTTGTTGAATTTCTTTAAAAATTCATTTCTTATCAATGAAAAGTTCCCATCGTTCTGAGTAATGTTAAGTGGCCTTCAACCTCTCTTGCTGATAAGTATTATTGAATGTTTGTCGTACTTATCACTCAATCTTAAAGGAAATCAACCCTGATTGCTCATTGGAAGGACTGATAATGAAGCTCAAGCTCAGATACT